CCTTGAAGATCTTCTTAGCTGCACTTCCTCTGATACGTGATCATCATCATCTATTGGCAACACAGGAGTCTCATTGTTGTCTTCTGTACCCACGTCTTCATTCGTAGTACCTTCATCCTCCTTATCATTAATTCCCTGATCACCACACTCTACTGTAAACGTTCCCGGTTTCTCTAGGCTTTCAAGATCAGTGTTGAACCACTTCCATTGTTTGAACTCGTCGAACACAACATCTCTACTCACTGTCACTCTCTTTGTCACTGGATCAAGCATTCTGTAAGCCTTGGAACCAGGTTCAGTCCCTAAGTGTACAAGAGCTCGTGTCCGATCATCAAGTTTTCTTACATTGTGTGCTTCGATCTTGGTGTAACCAATACAGCCAAATACCCTGAGGTGTTTAACATTAGGTTTCCTTCCCCTTAGTGCTTCGTATGGAGTCTGTGATGGTAGTGATTTGGTGGAGACACGGTTTATGAGATACGTTGAGTGTCTCACAGCCTCTCCCCAAAGAAAGTTTGGTACTCCCATATGCTTAAGTATGCTTCTTGTCATTTCAAGGAGAGTCCTGTTTCTGCGTTCTACAACTCCGTTTTGCTGCGGTGTGTAGGGAGCGGTTAGGTGTCTTTGTATCCCTGATTTTTCACAGAAAGTATGAAACTCCGTTGATGTAAATTCACCACCTCTATCTGTCCTCAAGGTCTTGACCTTTTCTTTTGTTTCTGCTTCAGCAATAGCTTTGAAACGCTTGAATTTATCAAAAGCATCACTTTTCTCTGACAAAAGAATAGACCACATATATCTGGAGTGATCATCTATTAGCACAAAAATGTACTTCTTTCCTCCTGCTGTTGGTGGAGAGATAGGACCGCAGAGATCTCCATGTACTAACTCTAGTACCTTGGTTGCTCGATATGTTGTTACCTTAGGAAAAGGTTGGCGTCTCTGTTTTCCTGCAAGACATGACGCACAGGTTTGATCTTCAACCTTTAACTTGGGAACACCTATGATTAATTCTCTTCCAATCGTTGTTCTCATAGCTTCTGCACCAATGTGTCCAAGTCTAGCATGCCATTTTTCTGACTCAGTTGACGTAGCTACCTGAAGACATTTTATTTCATCTATCTCCATGAACACTTTGTACAACCGATTCTTGGCTCTAACTGCTCTTGTGATCAGGTTCCCATCTTTATCATGAAGTGTGAGTACATTCTCTCTCATTCTTACGTCACAACCTGATTCTGTGGCTTGTCCGAGGCTAATTATGTTGCTTTTCAAGTCTGGAATGAAATACACATCAGCTAGGACCTTCTTCTCTCCGTCTTGAGTGATGAACACGATATCGCCTTTGCCTTTAATGTCTATCCTTGAATCATCCCCGAAACGAACCTTTCCAGTTATGTTTTCATTTAGAGACTTGAAGTAGCTTCGGTTACCTGTCATATGGTTTGAAGCCCCATTGTCAAGGTACCATATTTGATTTCCATCCGTAGTTGACTCAAAATCCTTAGGTTGTACGTTTCTCTCATTAAGGTATACAACCTCGTGCATTAGTAGTCTATCAGCTTCATGCGTCTCATCTTCTTTGTTCTCAGTTGCCTCTTGTAGTTTAAGAAGCCTATCAGGACATGTTGCTGCAAAGTGTCCAACTTTGTCGCAACGAAAACATGTTACTTTTGATGCATCCCTGCTATCCCAGTATCCTCTGCCTCGTCCTCTTCCTCGGTTATTATAATATCTACCTCCACGGCCACGTCCTCCTTGATAATCACGGTTGTTTTGATTCTCCATATTAGCATACATAAGTTTGTTTTGTTTCTCTTGCTCTTCTTCTTCTTCTTCGTTTATTCGCTCCTCATATGTCTTTAATCGACCTATGATATCTTCAAACGTTGTGTTCTTCAAGTCGAGCATCTGTTCAATAGAAGCAACTATATGTATGAACTTCTTACGCGGCAAGCTGCTGAGAAACTTCTTAACAAGTTTAAATTCATCCATGTTTTCACCAAGTGCTGCAGATTTCGATGAAATCTCTGATAGCTTGCCTACGAAGTCATCGATTTTATCACTGTCTTTCATCTTCAAGCGATCGAACTCGGTCATTAGGGTTTGTAGACGTGCTTCTCTAACACGTTCAGCTCCAACATAGCGAGATTTAATGGCGTCCCAGATCTTCTTTGCAGTGTTCAAGTCTCCAATTTGCAGAACAAGTGTCTCTGGTATGGATTGGAACAAAAGTGCAATTGCCATATCATTCTTGCCTATCTCGTCAGATTCAATCTCCACTGCTTCCCATGCTTTGTTAACTTTGAGTAGTGCTCTCATCCGTATTGCCCATACCGTATAATTAGTTTCATTCAGCATAGGGCAAGTTATAGATGAAGGGCCTACTCCAACTTTTGGTTTCGTTGTCACGATGTCTCCCATGGTATCTCTCAAGCGGTTAACGATGAGCTTCCTAGGGTTTGTTTAATGGCTCTGATACCAAATAAAAGCTCAATAGATTTTGTATAAGAACACACGAATAAAGAAACTCTTCTTTATTAATCTCTCTTAAGGAAACACTCACAAAACCTTAAGCCTCACACAATATCTAAACCACACGCCTTATGCAATACTCTTGCATCACAATATATAGTTATCTAATTCTCCTAAACTCATTAGGAAATACACGTTTAGATAAGGCTTATCCCGAGTAGTATTAGGATAACTTCGACTCCAAGTTATTCTCATGTTTATCTCTAACATGATGATGGTCATGATGCTTTATAACCAATGTGTTTGTTGTGGATATTCCTTTCGTCGTAGCATCAAAACTTTATTAAACAACTCACATTGTGTTCTCTGTAGCCGAACTTGTATGATTCGGGGTAATAAACATTACAATGAGAAAAGGAGCCAAGACTACAAGAGGAAGAGAATGCACAAACATGATGTAACGAATTCGTAAATCGACCAATTTAAGAATCCAAAGTCTTGGTCAAGTGTCTCCTAAACAGTTTTCGAAATTACAAATACCCGACCCAAAAAGTAACAACATTAACTGGGCCTTATGAACAAATGTCGTAATGATTTGTTTCACTATGTTAAATTACTTAAATATAAAATCACTCGAATTTTGATCTATGATCTTCTTACAAAATAAATTTTAAGAGATAGTGGGCTTGACGCATTTGTAGACCCATTAATAAGTTAAAAGGAGCATTACTTAATATAACAACACTCAATATTTAATTTAGGGGTTTTACAAAACAAATTTTAAGAGGTTAGTGAGCTTGACGCATTTTAGGCCCATTTAGAAGTAAAAAGTAGCCGTTGGAGGAGGATTGTTTTCTTGAAAGAGGATCGGATCCTTGATTTTTTTTTTTTTTTTTAAATAATTTATCGTTTTAAAAAAATATATTTTTATTAATCAAACCGAAGATCGGGAATTCAAATGTCCATTACAAACTTAAATCGAACAAACATTAGAATCCTTTTTCTTTAAAATTTATCGTTCTTAAAAAAAAAAAAAATTTTATTAATCAACCCGAAGATCAGGAATTCAAATGTCCATTACAAGCTTAAATCTAACAAAACAATTCTAATTTAACCTTAAGCTCCTTCTTTCTTTAAATTTTTTTTATTATTATTCTGTTATAATTTCTAACGTCTGTTAGAATCGATCAAGATTATATCACACAGCTTTCAAACTATTTGATACTATAGTGGATACAGATTCGCCAAGAAATGCCATTGAAAGATAAGGTACGTATATTTGAAAGCCTTTAAGCAAAAAAAGAAGAAGATGAGGTACGTATTGGGTTGTACGATCGTGTTTGATTCGATTAAAAACTGAGCTCAGGGTGGACTTAAAGATAATTGCTTCTTTTTTTTTAGTTTTAGACTTCACATTTTTTTCTTTTAAAAAACATGAAAATTGACTTAGGTATATAAATTTCTATCAAGCATTGGTAAAGACATTTCGGCAAATTAGTGAAGATAAATTTAGTTTTCAGTAAATTAAATTAAGATAAATTTAGTTTTCTGAATTTTAAATTATGATGTATTTTGAAAATCATTGATATATAGAGATAATCGGTTGACATAAGCCTCTCCATGCGATTGCCAAGTGATTTATAAAAGGTAACTATAGAATAGCCAGACCTTTGAATTCTATACAATTGTTAACTAACAGAAAAGAATCTAATACATGCGAATAAAAGGAAGAGAGTGAAAACTGAGAAAGGTTAAAAGAAGAACCAATACGATTTTGCTTTAAATAACACAAAATGAAGCTTGTAAAATTAAGGGATCAATCTAAAACATGACAGGGACAAGATGTCAAGTGTTTTTCTATCCCTGTGGGCTTCTCGTCTGGTGCACATTCCCCGTAAAACTTATGCCCTGCAAAACAAAAATAAATCTTATTATATAAAAACTGTAATCTTATTAGATCTGACTTTGCATTTTCTTGGCTTACGTAGTCAACATAAATATATGTTAGGTGTTAGATGCAAAGAATCTCCCCAAATATGATAATCTGTCTTTATTATTGGGGCAGCATTTCATGAAAGATGGGTCCAAAAACCAAATAGTTTCGTTGTCAAAGAGTAGATACATTGTGACGGTCCAATAATAGATGTGTCGATATATAAACATCAACTACACGTAAATCGACACATCAACTATGCTTGTTCATGTATAAAGGTTAGGTATAAAAGAGCAGTTTGACGGGATTGCCAAAATTATTGTTTCTGAAAACTAAAAAAGCATATGATATAAATGGAAAACGTGCATGCACAACTATAACAAACACAAATAAATATTACACTCATAGCTAGTAACATTAGTAGTAGACATAATAATAACAATAGTGACCGCACTTTTTTTGTAGGATAAGAGCATGTCCAACGGGGGATGAAGACAAGTCCTTAGCATTGACACGTTGGCAAAAGTAAATAAAAAATTAATATGTTTATTGTTACGGGTAAGGATTAATCCTTAGATAAGGGGAGGAAGAGGCCGATCCTTGCTGACGTGTCCGGTTCGCTTGGGCCTGACGGGGAAAAAAAAATTCATTCTGTTGAGCAACATAAAAAAAAAAAATCTCTCGCGATAGAGAAGGCGAAAGCGACGATCGTTGTTCAAGGTAAATCGAAGACTTGTACTTGATTTTTTTGTCGATCTGGAGTTACTGCATGTTGATTTCAATAGTTTGTGGTGTTTGAATGTGAGTTCTTATAGATTTTTTCAGGGAAATCGATTTGGGGATTTTGAAAAAATTAGGGATTTTACTTGGGTTTGCTAATTCCTTCCTTTCCTTGCGGTTGGTTACAGACGGCGGAGTGACGACGGCGACAGCGCTGGGTTTGGTGGTGGGTCATGATGGCTTAGGGATTGTGGGGTGGTTTCAGTGAAAAGAGGAGAGTGGAGTTGAGTGGGTGGTGAGAGAGGAGGAAGGGAAGTTTGAGATGCTTGAAGGTGAGGTTTTGACAGAGAGGATTGGGAATGAGACAACGGTTTATAAGTTTAGTGTACGGTCTCTGCCGTCAACTCCAGCGGAACGGTTCGCAGTGCTGTTTAAACATAGACCGAAATGGGAGTGGAAAGACTTGAAGCCTTACTTAAGGTAATGATTTGATCAGACGCTTGAGTTTTTTTTTTTGGATTTATGAATTGATTGTGTTGTAATGTTTGTTGTTGCAGGGATCTTCATGTTCCTAGACTTTCTATGGAAGGTTTGCTTCTGAAGTACACACGCAGAGCACAGTCTAGACCTGTTAGGCGCTTGATAGAGGAGCTGCGTTGTTGAAAGTAGATAAGCTTTTGTTTAGGCGCTTGATAGAGGTTTTACTGCAATGGGGTATGTAAACGTGGATAAGAGATGGGTATGATATAGTGCTTTAGTTTAGGCACAGTCTAGGTCTGTCTTTGGTCTTTTTATGCCTTATGTTACCTTCTCGTATGATTTGTGTCTTGACATTGGTTTTTGTTTAACTGTGCAGTTTGGTTACATTGTTCTGAAAACTTCCGCCAGCATCATGGACCACGAAGAAGCAAGGAGGAAGAATGTTGGTGGCAAGGTTCTTGGATTCTTTTACTGAAATTTGGTTGAGCTGAAATTTGGTTCCAATGGCTGGTTAGTTTTGCTTTCAATACCATTCTCTCAGAAACAACTTGCAGAATTTTTTGTCTCTTCATGTTTAAAGTGTTATGACTTTGATTGATCTACAGGAGAATTAGCCACAGAACTCACCTCCAGAACCATGGGCATGCTGAGAAGGACGAATCTTGACATCCTGTAAGTTACTAACACGGCTTTTTCATTATCTTGTTTCAAGCCTGTGGCGTTTCTTAGATGAAGTTTGTATTTATACTTTACAGAAAAGTGAGTTCAAGGTGAAGGACTGTTCTTTTGCATATGGAGGAATCAACAATCCATGAGCTAAGCAATATCTTCACACAACTAGCTTCCCTGGTTTCTCAGCAAGGGGAGATCGCTATCAGGTTCGTCAACACCAAACCATGTGTACGAATGATTGAACATTTGAGGGAAAAAAGTAATATAATGTGTTGTTGAAAATTGGTTCTGTTTCATGTTATATTTTCTTATAGGAATGTTCATTTGAGGGAAAAGAAGTAATAGACAAAGTTTAAAATTTACATGTTTTACAAATTTTATAAATTTTAATTTCTAAGATTCAATTCCAAAAAAAAAAAAAAAAATCTAAGGATTCCATAATGGATAACACCATTGGACATATATTCAGAAAAAGAGTCCTTAACTATTCAAAAAAAAAAATATATATATATTTTAGTGTTAAGGACTCCAATGATGGGTAACACCATTGGAGTTGCTCTAAGTTAAGAAAGACTAGTCGGTGTGATCGGTTAACAGTACAGCCTGACGACTTTCTGACCTCCAATAAAAGAGATTATTTATTTAGTTTGTTCGGTTTCTTACTTTCATTATAAAGAAAATATTTACACCAGTTTGAGAAAACATTATAGGGCACATAATTAAAGGACGTTAAGATAGAGTAACGTCATGGTAATTATGAATGCAGAAAATGTCAAACCAACTCGAATAACAATATAGCATTCTGACATTCTGACTATCCAAACGCGTGAAGGAGAAACATAAAACGTCTTTGGGCATTTGATTTGATCTTTAACGACTCTACTTAGACTTTAATAAAAGGATATATATATATTTTTTTTTTGTAAAAAAGGCTAAAAGGAGATATATATTAAGTTGTTGTTTATTGCTTATTAATATTATTGAAACGTACCATTTAGTACGGAGGAGGATAGTGTTGTTGAGTGTAAAGATGAAACTGGTCGTGATTGTTCGGACATGTGGTTGAGCCGTCAGGTGTAGATGGCTCGGACCAGTCTGAGTCTAGCTGGCACTCCATGTTCACTCCGAACAGTCTTAATGTCTTCGAGTTCCCTCTCTGGCTCTCCACCGCTTGAGCCCCTGGCATAAAATATTAATGTATCCAAATAATATAAATTAATGTATAATGGAATCGGATGATTCTTATAAAACTTTAGTAAAGGCATATACTGGAACATATAGCGAGCGAGTGCAGGCCGTTTTGATCACCGCCCAAGATACCGATTAACATATAGTGTTGCGTAGAAACACGGATTTATAAGACATATATGTAATGTAGTGAAAATGAAATTGGATAAAGAGTAGGTGTAAGGATACGCAACAAATGTCACGCAATGTTGAATACGAATCCGATTCTGTTTCTATGGGTTTCCATAATTTCTTTATTTTTACTTCTCTACTTTCTTAAAGGAGCGATTACCCTCTCACGCGCCAATTACAAACCCCAAACACTATAAAGAGTTTTTCAGCTGTTCACGTAACTTCAAATATTTACATGAAAGTATATTTTCACTTTAAATTTTGTTTTGTTATTTTTAACTCAAATAAATAAATAAAATTATCACAGGACTCTTAACTTTTAGTTGATGTGTACCTAATTTGTGCATGGAGAATTAATTTATACGTTGACAAAATGAACTTCTCTTCCAATTTTAATAAATTTTACATGCTACTATATATATGGATTGAGTTTCACTGAGATTATAACTGTAATAGGTATTATATTTTATACTGTGGAATAAATAATCTGCTTTTCACATATTATTGAGTTAGTTTGGATTTCAGGACTTCGGTCCGAAAAAATCTAATTGTAATAATTATTAAATAAAAAATAAAATATCATGTCTATATAATTAATAAATAAAAAAGGGTTACCTGCATGAGGATAATATTGGAGCGAGGCATTGGACTGAAGATGGCGATAAGAGTCTGAAGAGGAGGAAGAGTCGCCGCGTCTTCTCCAGCCAATGAAGAATCTTCCTCCGTCCACACGGTGGCGATGGAAGAGAATGACGTCACCGGCGTCGAGCTGCTTCTCCTTGACGTATCTGCTCCATCCTTTGGTCAAAACGTAGCTCTGGCTACTGTTCCAATACGAGTACCTGAATCTCCATGGCTTCCCTTCCTCGTCCTCGAAGCAAAGGAGCAATCCCTTTTCCATCGCGTCTGCGGCGGCTGCGGCGAGAGGGAAGTATCTCTCGGCGTGCTGTTTTGGGATGACAAGGCGGTTGAGTTTTCCGACGTCACTTGGTGTTAAGGGTTTCTCGAAAAGAGCTTCTCTTTCCTCAACGAAGTCGTTTGGGTGGTGGTGTTGCTGCTGCTGCTGTTGTTGCCACATGAGAGAATGGTAGTTGAAATCGCTTGAGTAATGGTTTATTGACATTTGAATGAGAGAGAAACAGACGACGAATAGTGATATGAGAGAGATGGCAAATATTTTTTGAGATACCAATGCTGAGGTTACATGTATCTGCCTCTATTTATATATGTATAAATATATGTTTCAAGGAAAGAGAAAATCATCTATAATTCTATGATCAAGTGTATGTAAGAGATGCGTATGCGTTTTTAGTGTACTATAGGTAAAAATATAAATTAAACACTACAAGAATAATGCATAATCTCCGATAGTCATATTAGTCGGAAGTTTCTCGGTAACGAGTATTTCCTATTATTTTCCGACAAACAAATTTTAGTCGGGGTTTGAGTGTCGGAAATCTTGGGTTCTCGGAAATATGTCGGTACATTCCGATAACCAATATTGTCGGAACTCTTTGTCAAAAATATATCGGAACATTCCGATGAACTTAGGGGAATACATCCCTGATAAATTCCCGAGAATTTAATTTTTTTAAATAAAAAAAAACAAAATAATGGAATATAAATAAAAATCAAATAATATTGAATTACTATTAAATATGTATTATTATTACATGTAAACAAATTAACCATAAAAACTTAAAAGAAAAAAAAACTAAATTTACTATCGGCGTAAGTTGAGACGGTGGTGAAGGTTCATGATCTCCGACAGAGTCAGTGTAGGGTGTGAAGGTGGTGTGAGTGCCGGGACGGCGGTGAAAAGATTTGCGGTGGTGGCGATGCAAGAAGGTGCAGTTGTGCCGACGGCGGTGAAAGGAGTTGCTTTGGTGACGGCTGTCGTGCAAAGAGTTGAGTGGTGGTGGTTTGACAGATTTACAGATCTTACTTAGGCAAAAAAAAGTTCACAGATCTGAAAAAGACAGAAAGAGAGAAGAGAAAGGAAAGAGAGGAAAAAAAGAAATAAATAAAAGATGAAAAATGAGGAAAGCAGGAGAAGAAAAGGAAAACAATGATCTGCTCTTCGATTCCTAAACAGATCTGTTCTTTGGGGAGATATGGGGGAGAGAAGATAACAGAGAATACAAATAGAGATTTGGGTTATATTAAATAAAAAAAACATTACATATATAAAAATGCATGTAATTGATACTGGACCACACGGTCCACACACGTGGATTAGAAAGTGAGATATTTATAATCTAAACATTAGATATATTATTATGAAAACTCGTCGGAATACAATTTACTTTATTACTCTCTGTTTTCCGATGGTAACACCGATAAAAGTACCGATAAATCTTATATGTCGGTATAAACCGAGAACTTAACAACGAGTTTCCGAGAAATCTTATATGTCGGTATAATCCGACAATTTTCCGAGAACATTAACGACAAGTTCCCGAGAAACTTTTTTTGTCGGAAAAACCCTACAACTTCCCGATGAATTTAATAAGTCCTCGTTATTTTCTCGGTCAACCGTCACAGATTTTCTGAGAACTAAATTTCTCGGAAACTTTTATCGGAGTTCATGACGTTTTCTTGTAGTGAAAGTGTATAAAGTTGGACATATAAATTTCATATATGACATCCATTGAATATGGAATGATACTCCTGATATAAATGTAAAAAGTCCACTGTATTCTAAAGACACACGAAAATATGAAAAGGTGGGTGTTCTTTTCGCCATGTAAATATCATATATAAATATTAGGGATCGTTATCTCCTGATATTTTAGGGTGTATAAATTTCACATTTTGGTTTTCAGTACATATTATATATGTAACATATCTATATATACATGTGAGATGTGTTTTGTCGGGATCAGGCACATGTTATCGCATTATCCTTCATTTTCTAGCTTACTACTAACTTCTCAAGCACGTGCATTCCATTCACCACCCAACAAATCGTCCAATTATCTCATTCTTAATTATGTTAGATTTGACATACGGCCATTTCTATTGCGAGTAAACATCACTACAATTTACACATATATAGTTTTCTTCTATTTATGGTTTTACATATAGTTTCCTGACAATAGTATCCATAATTTTCGGTATAATCTTCGTCACACTTCAATTCCATAGAGTAGAAAGAATTTTATGATTCCAGAAATAGTAAAGATAGATATACTTAAAACTAACAGGAAAGGAAAAAGAAAGGCAGATACATGGACCAAAACATAGAAAAGATATTTTGTCTCTTAACCAAGAAGATTTCTATGTACAGCCTTTCCTTATTTAGTTCTTTTTCATCACGTGCATGACACATCTCTTTAATGTTTACGTATCGTTCTTAAAATTTCGAAAATTGTGTGTATCTAGCTATTTTATATAAATGATAGAAATAAATAATTGGTCAGGATAATAATAATTACTTTAAAAAGAAACACGTAGCTTTGTGTTTCCAAAGAGAAGAGTCGTGGGAGGGATAGAGATAAGATCTGTCTTCAATTGTCTGTTTCTTCTCTCTTCAGTCGTGTTTCAATACTCTCCTCACATTCTCCCCCACAAACAAACATAAAATGAAACACGAATATATATTCGTAAATGTATAACGTATTACGTAAACCCAAAACAAACTTTTCTAATTTGTTACTTGCTTTTTGTTTTTATGTCATTCCGACTACTTTGTCCTCATTGTTTCCTTTTCTGACATATTTATCACAATCTGTCATGAGATTTTTATTATCATATTATGCTAAATTTGAATTTGAATAGTCACAAGTTACAGTTAGGCTATATATTTCCTAGTCAAATGATAATTACTAAAGCTCAAGAGGTTATTTTATAAATATTGTCCAAGTTAATATTTTAATATACAGATTAGATGGTTTTGTTATGTTAATAACACTAGGACTAAGTTCTGTCCGACATAACATTTGATTACAGATTTGAGGATTATAGGTGGAATAATCTATATTAGGCTTGAATAATAAGTATTTAAGGTGAGATAATCTCTAACGAAATTCTCTATAAAAATGATGTTAAATATGAATATAATTAATATTACTGTTTTAAAAAACTTGAGAGATTTTCAGCAAAATTCATCTGTTTTTTTGGTACGAGTCTTTAACTTTTTGAGATATCTATTCATACATAATATTAATAATATATGCTCAAACATTAATGTCATAATGTATTTACAACGTTGTTGAGAAATTACAGTGTCCTATATCTTTTTAGAAATATAACACTTATAATTAGAAATATATATATATATATATATATATACTCCTTTTGTTTTATATTAAATGTCACTCTATAATTATCATGCAATTTTGTTACATTAAATTTATTTTTTTAAATAACTAATAGATATTTATTTTAATTATTTTTATTTATTAGTAACGTATTAAATAATAATATATTAATCTATTATACAATGTTTTTAAACTCTGTGAAACATGTCAAAGTGATATTTATATTGAAACGAGGGAGTATATTTTAAAACATATAATAAAACAATCATGTTACTTCGAAAATATATTTATTTGTAGATGGTGATTTAACCTGATGTTGCTAAACTCGATCACCGAATAGCTGTCCACCCAAAATATAAGAATGTCTTCATTATCCGGAGTTCTAGCACTGATGACGGGGAGGTGATTATCGACGTCGGCCTGAAACTCTATCTCATAACCATTTTTTTTGCTTTTGTGAGGTCCAATAGTTTCTTTACCATATGTAACCAAACACGGATCGTTTATGAAATTATAAAATTGTGTGATATGAGATAAATTATTCATTCTGTAGTACGATTTAGACAAACACAATCGGTTAGTTCCTTGAAAATAAGTGTTTAAAGGCAAATAATAATAATTAACTTTAATACATAAATTTAAATTTAAATAAACAGTTGAATTATTTAGATAGGGACATGTGTAACAAGATGCAAACATAAAATGATATGTGGAGACAAAAATTTTGGAACAGTCCTTAATTTATTTTTATTGTGACGGTACTACATTAATTTGACTTTTTTATTTATTTATTTTTTCACTTTATTAGTGTATTGTGTCTAGTATTCCTTGATGAAGTTGCTCTTAAAGTATATTCAACCGCGAAACTCATAGAAATTCTTAAGAAAAATGGTATTTCGGATTTGGTAATATTTCAATTTTTTTAAAAAAAATAAAATAAAAAAAGATGACTATTCGCGAGCTGCCACATGTCCTAGGAATCCTTAAATAGTGTAAAAAATTTCTAAAAACAATTCTTATTTAAGAATTTTAAAGATCGAATCCTTAACTTTTTATGGAATTTACTAATTATTTAAATTTTTTTTATTTAAGGATTCTCATCCAAGGATTCACGTTGGAGGTGATCTTAGATTACTGATAAAGAAATGCAACTTAACAACTTGGACAAATAAGTGTAACGAACTATGTTTAACAAAATACGTCATATATATTGTCGTCAACTTGTTTGCATAGAAATAGAAAATTTGATTCAGAAAAGTTTTGTCCACCAAGGGGTTAGTGTATTTCTGTACTTTTAATACACCGGTCAAGTGATATGGTTTGGTACCTCATCCTCGATGGCCGCGAAACTTTCTCAATTTCCAAGTAGATTCGCTCTTTCTGGTAAACCCTTCTTCTCACTTCTACTTCTGACATGAATGTTTCTCCACTATTATTACACTTACCTTACGTAGTAAAATTGGTTTATAGTAAGAGTTTTCTCTAAGCAGGTTTATAAGAGTTAGAAAGTTCTAACAATGAAATCAAGAGGAACATTTTCCATTCAATTTGGTTATATCCGACATTTCAATGACTGGTGTATCAGAACTCTTATAAAGTACAGCCTGAATATTTAACCACACGTTTAAAATTAGTTAGTCTTTTACCAACAAAAATAGTAAATGTCTTCCAGAAAGTTTAGATTTATGTCAATTGGCTTCAGTCAAACTTTTTCCCCAATGAATCATAGGAATTATTGACAATGAATGCTATCTTAATATATAAGTATAAAACTGAACGAATAAAATAGATTTTTCCTGTTTAGAAAAATATATCCACTGTTTTTATGTTTAATGTGCTTTTTGTTATGTAATAATGAAATAAATGAAAATATATGAAGCTTTATATTTATTAAATTTATATTGGTTAAAAATATATAAAATAATCTTAACAAATTAATATATTTATGATTCAAATTTAATATTTTATTCAATATATGGGAATTTTTTAAAAATATTCTTTTTAAATAGAGAAAAGATATAAAAACAGTAATGAGAATAGCAGAGAAGGAACATGGATTCATAGCGAAGAGACAAACAAATTCCAAGAAATTAGAAAATTTGAGG